GATGATCCGCGGGCAGCACCGGAGGCTTGGGAAAGCGTTCAAGCTGCCGGGGTGAGGGGAAGCAGAGACAGACCGGAAGATAGGGGGTACGGGGATAGGATCACAAAGAGAAAGAGAAGGGCAGTCTGGCAGGGGGATACAGATGAATGACACCGTCACGGGCGTGTCTCGTCCCTTCGGCATTCCACGTTTCCGGGATGTGGCGGGGAGAGGCCTGGAATTTTCGGAATGGGTCAGCGAACCACATTTTCAGCAACCAATGCCCGGAAGAACTTTCTCGACCATCGTGGATTTCCTCGTTCTGGGTAACAAACCTACAAGCAATTTTCCTACAGCGCACAGGGTGAACCCGCCAGACAGTTGTGGGGTTGAAGTGTTGGCTGTTCGTTTGGTGGTTCGTTGTCGATGATGGAAAATGGAGGCAGGTCCTTGGTTCCGTAACGTTCTTACTTCCTTCGGTGAAAAGTGTCATTTTTGTTTCGTTGAAGCCTGAGATCCGATGTCTTGTCGACGACCGCACCTTGTCTGGTGCTACCCCCTCCTCCACTCCACGCCGCGGTCACCAATACTGCAGCCCCTGCTCGCAAACAAGTTTCTTGTGCCCTTGAAAAGAGGGGGGCGAAGAGGGACAGAACGGTTTACACTTCATGAAGAAAAAAATGAACGACGGCGACGACGGCAATAACGACAACTTCTTACACCTCTCCGTCTCTTTCTCTGTGAATATTTCCCATTATCCCCTCTCCTCTTCTCTTCTCTTCTCTCTCCCCGGCGGGGCTGCCTTCCTCTTGTCAGGTGTCGACGCTTGTTCAACATTTTCCACCCCTACGACCCCGTGGCGTTCCGGCTGGAGCCGCTCCTGAGGACCGGCAACGGCGACGGTCGAGGCGCGAACGGCGGGCGGGGCTTCCCCCCAGAAGAGCCGGTCATCTTGCCGACGTGGACCGGGGGATTGAGGGTGCACTACCAGGTCCAGCGGTGGTGGCAAGACATCTGGAGCAGGTGATGGTGGTGGTGACGACGACGTTAGCCTAGGACATTACGAGAGCCCTGACTTGTACGTTAGCCGTGTGCTGCGCACGCGTGGTGAGGAGTTGTAATGGTTGGTGTGTTTCCTTCAAAACACCCAGTGAGCACGTATCAATTGCGAGGTTCGGCGCCAGGTTGACGTTCGGCGGGCCCCCTCGGTTGGTTGTCTGTTGCTGCTGCTGCTGCTGCTGCTGCTGTTGTTGTTGTTGTTGTTGTTGTTGTTGTTGTTATCGTTGTCCCTTGTTTGTGAGATGTGGTGCCCACGATAATGTTGAAACGGCTATTTACTCAAGGCGATACACGCCTAGTGGGGTCTGATTCCTGCTGTCCCTTCGGGGTGTGTTGCAAATCCAGGGCATGCGAGACGAAGAGGAGAGCGGAGGTGGGCATTGAGCGCTCTCTGGAGTCGATCGGGCTCATCGACGAACAGACCGGCGACCAAGACGAGAAAGAGAGTATCGGGTCTCCAGAAAGCCCGTTCAGGTGGGCGAAAACCTGCTGTCAAGGAGAGCCCTATGGTCTTGCGAAGGATGCTTCTCCAGGCTGTTTACTGTAGTTTGGTTATGTAACAGTTCAACCCTCTGTTTATGCCGCCCTTCGAAGGGCAAGCCTCGTCACAATCGCGCTCATGATGGCGACGCGAGTTTCATGGGTGAAGACACAATGATTGCGGTCAAGGTGAACAGCAGGAAGCCACAGAAGAATGCGTTGCTCGATCGCAACTTGTTTCTCGCCTCCAGGGGGGGAAGCGAATCGATTTTCGTGACAATTCGCGTACCCCTGCTCACTCCGGTGTTTACCCTCTCGCCACCCTTCTTGTTGTTTTTCCGAAACCCACCGCCCTCGTTGCTGCTGCTGCTTCCTCTGCTGCTGCTGCCGCGGCTGCTGGTGCTGGCTCCTCGGATCACTCGGTCCGATTCTTGTTGAACCCGTGCACAAAATGTAGCCCTTCCTCGTCACCACATTTTGCGACTTTGTCACGCGAGGGTCACGCTCGTGGAGGAGGGTACGACAGCGCCGCCGCTGCAGCAATCGCCGCCGGCGACGCCGGCACCATGGCAACGTTGGCAGCGGCAGGGGTGGACGGTGTTACCCCCTTGATTGTACGTGAGGCCGCCAGTACGACCGCCTCCCAAGCCTCCTTGAACTCCCTCGCCGCTACACCGGGTGAGCAGCAGCAGCAGCAGCAGCAGCAACAGGAGGAGGAGGAGGAGGAGGAGGAGGAGCAAGAACAGTTACCCGAAGAGGGCCACCATCAGTCCAGACCAGGTATGAGGGCGGCGACGACAGGCACGGCAGAGGGCCGAGCGGCGCGCGAGGCATGGCAGAGCGCGGTGATGGAGGAGGACCTCGAGCGCAACGGGGCCCTGGCGGGCGGCAGACGAGTGGACTACTGTCTACAGGTGCGGCGCATGTGATAAACGCACACAACTAAACCCATTCATTAAGTGTTCCAAGCAACCCTGAATGTCGTGTGCGCGTTCATTAACTCTCGGCGCCTCGGATTGCTCCCGTGCACGAGGTTGCCTGCCCACTCTTTGCCCCCTCCTCTCCCCGCGGTATGCCGGATACCGCGACGTGTTACACTGCGGTGGCTTAAGGGTTGAGGGGGCATTTTTGGGAGGTGCCCTCTCTGGAATCCTTTGTTTAGTTGTTGTCGTGGAAGAGATGCTCTAATGACATTGCGCAGGGCACACGAGATGCGGTGCTTGAAGGCGGACCACGACGACGGTAGAAGGCCAGCCGTCTTTTGATTGACAGAGGGAGACGTTCGTTCGTGTTGGGAGGTTTTCCATCGATCATGCGCAACAGGGCGTCGAATTAAGAAGGCGTTTGTACAAGAAGGTTGCATACGCTTCGAAGCGTCGGGTCTGTGTGGTGCCTTTCGCTCTCCGCGCGCAAGACTGACTGGCCCAAGGGCTTCGTGCGGGGGCGGTACAAGCACCAGTCCAAGAATGTGAAATGCTTGGGGCCGTGTCGTATGGTCAACCGCAGCGACAGGCCGCAATCGAATCGCACCTTCAATGCTCGGCAGCGCAAATCTCCTTCATCAGGCTTCTCCCCCTCTCTCGAACCACGTAATCGGGAGACAATTCGGGCTAGCTTTGCTAAGCTCTACACGTACGGAAGCGTCGATTTTTAGGCTGGTTTGTATATTCTCTGGTTGACGTTCTTTCTCCCTTCTCGCTGTAGTACTTTCCTCACTCGGAATGACGTCGTTATCGCCAACAGGAGAAGGAGTTCGAGGTCACGAACGAGTACATCTTTGCACTGGGCTCCCACGTCATCTACTGGAGCTCCAAGGACGTCAGCCTCTTCGTGGCTCAGCAGGTCGTGGCCGATGCTACCGCCGCCTCGGATACGGACGCTCGGGCACCAGCAGCGCCAAGCGACGCTGGCAAAGCAAAGCAGCAGTAGGACGAGCGAACAACAAGCGGAGGCGACATCACCGGTAGAGCATAACGGATGGATTCACTGACGAGCGTGACACAGTCTAGGAGGAGCGGACAACGGCAGCGAGAGCATCGCCGGTAGTACTACCGATGGTGGAATCACTGACGAGCGTGACATGGTCGCTGGGCGAAAAGCTGACGTGCTCACTCAGAGGTGGCGTACAGCGCACGAGCAGCGCTCGCAGCACCGGCAGCAGACGGAAAAGCAGCGAGGTAGATCCGGGAGGCCCGTGTGGTTCTGCACGGGGTCTTTGTTGGACGGATCCATCGATGAAGTGCGGTGGCTGATACAATAGTTCCAAGAGAGAGATTTTTCCCTGGCGTTGGGTTGGGTGTGGCCCGCCCGCCCTTTGTCATTTCTCGTTGGCCGAAGGGGCATGTTGCGCACCGATCACAACCTACCTGTCAAGGTTGGGGGAGGTTGAGAGGACGGGATCGACCTTGAACTCGTTGTGGATGCTGCCAGCGCGCCGTGTTAGTTGGATTGACGACGCTTTCCAAGATGCGGCATAGAGCAGCACACTTCGGCACGCAGCACTCCCCACCCCAGGTTGTAGTCGGTGCCCAACCTACCCAAAATCTTTCCTCTCGCCACCTGTGTTGGCTTCACATCTCGCGCTTCCCGGCCTGCTTGTCGTGTGTCTAGTTTCAGCACTCCCCAGACACATGGTTCTATTTCCTTGCCCGAGGATTATGTAACCACCGACGTCCCAGCTTGTAAAACCGTTCCCCGAACACGGCGTGTGGCAGTAGGGTGTCATCGACTGCAACAGAAGCATCTTGTCCGTAATCGTTCTTGTCCACATATCGCGCGGGCGTTGATTCTCACTCTGCCAATGCGATAATTCGTTCTCCTCTGATCCATTCCGCCAAACGACGCGTGGAAAAAAAATCATCTGTTTGTGGAGAACACCTTCATAAAGGTTGAAACTCCCCAACGTCTGTCGAGGACGAAACCCTCTTTTCCACAATGGCGTCGACGAAGAGATGTCAGGTGTCTGCTTTTGGTTGCAAAAGACACGGGTTCAAACCCGCTGCTCACCTAATTTTCTTCCGGAGTACGGAAAAAGGAAAACGGTGGGTGGGCCAAGAAACGATGCACTGTCTATCGAACTCGAAACTTCTGGCAATGCGTGGCGGAAGTGGCGCACCCGCAACACGCACAGAAGATTGTTGGAAAAAAGGTGGTTGTACTCGCCGCCAGCCGGTCGGGTTCCGGTTACCCCAAGAAGACTTCTCTTGCCTGTGGTTGTACTCGCCGCCAGCCGGTCGGGTTCCGGTTACCCCAAGAAGACTTCTCTTGCCTAGCAAACAAGAAGAAGCCTCGAAAAAGGGGGGGGTAATGTGGAGAACACCTTCATAAAGGTTGAAACTCCCCAACGTCTGTCGAGGACGAAACCCTCTTTTCCACATGTTGCGTTCCTCTTCCGGCATCGCGACGCCACCACATCATATCGCACCAAGGCCCCAACAAGCGGCACAACTTAATGAATTAAAAATCAATTGGGGAGGCAGCCGTGGGCACACGGCAATCTATACATCTATCTGCGTTCCTCTGCCGGCAAAGTCTGTGGTCTGCGATCCTCTCTAGGCGGTGTTTACCATTTATGCTTTCCCAGATATCAACTGCTACAGGATGCTGCGACCGCTGAGGGCGTGACCAAAGCATTGAGGTCCATTAGTCACAGCAATGAAGTCAGACACACGGGTCACAAGCTCCAACACCCAAAACCAACTTTAACAAAACGACCGTTGGCAGCCAACGAAAACGTAGTCAACGGGGCAGTCCCGACTTCAAGCAATAAAAAGGTGACTCAGCGCGGAAGTTTTGGCCCAGAATGTCGAGATTCAGAAACAACCAAGTGCCTTCCCGTCGCCGAGTTGGCCACGGGAGATATCTTCTCCACACAAGTTTTCTCCGCCGGGTCCCGAAGACTACGTTACATCCTTTACACTAAAAAAAGTGGTAAACAATCATTGCTCTTGTAACCTGCGGTAGCAGTAAATCGGTCACTCGACAACCAAACAGCCCCTTCGGGATACCAACAACGCCCTCTTGGTTTCTCAACGGAAACAGTAGGCGAGACCCAGCACAGACCGAGAAAAAACAAGCAGCTAGGAGTCTAGCACCGTCTCTTTCTTGAGCTTGACCTCGAAGCCCATGTCCTTCTTGTCCTTCCGGGAGAGCAGCAGGCTCTTCTTGTAGCCTTCCTCCTGTGGAATTCATTCAGCAGGAACGAATCGCGTCGCAGCCTCGACACAGACACAAGTCCTCTAGGTTAAGTTCGATTACGATAATGCAAGCGGTACAACACCTTTCATGCGAGTCTTGATGTCGTGCGAATGAAGATTCGATCCGTCTCGCTCTGTGCCTTCCGTAAATCGAGAAGGATCTTGACACGGGGTGATGATATCGAAACAAATGAAATGAAGCACGGACAACACAATACATTCCAACCCGCCAGCTCTCGACAGCATCCAACACGACATTTTCGTAAAGTGAATCCGGCAAAAACATGTTTTTCCGCCTTCGACGGAGGGGGTACAACGAAGGGTAAAGCTAAATACGCACCACTCTATCGTTATCATGGTCAGCACGAACACGTGTATCACCCCGTTTTTCACCTGCAATGTCGTTTCAGATAGACTGAAGTTTCAACAGTTTCGGGTTGCGATGTATGGTACCGCGGTACTTCACCTGTTCTCGAGTCCTGGGGTCTTCGGCCGCGGCCTTCTTCTTGCTCTTCTTGTCGCCGCCGCCAAACTTGAGGCCACTAAGAGACAGTCCACCTCCTGTCCCGTGGTCGGCCTTCATGTCCTGTTGTGCAGTGCGTGAGTTTTGGTCAACAGGGAGGAGACAACAGGCTCAATTAATTTGTAAGCGCAACCGCAGAGTCGTGTCGGTAAAGGCAGGAAATGGGCGCGACTGCGAAGCCGCAAGCCGCACTGGACCTCGTTCTCGCTCTTTCACTCCCGCACGCCGATTTCTGCAAACGTTCCGTTATCTCCCTCACTGGGTTGATATGGGCGATATTTGTTCACTTGCGCCACGAAAACTAGACATACAACCCATTCTCCTCCCTCTGAAGACACAGTGTTCTCCTTTCGTCCCCTTCGCACTTCCTCTCTCCCCGCGGTCTCGCCCCCTCATAAGTGGAAGTAAATCCTCTCTCTTTCGCCTTGCCTTTTGTGCGTTGGCCCACTGATATGCGATCTTGTCCTTCTCGTACATAAGCTCCTCGAGCTGGAACTGCAGTTTCTCGATCTTTTGCACATACCTTTTTTTGAGTTGTGTGCGGCGTGGCATCGTTTACACCGAAGAAAAATGTAGCACACACGGAAGATACAACAATGGCAACCTAGTTGTTCTCCTTCGAGAACACGCCCTATGCCGGGCGCTGGAGGCACAGGGTGCTCTTTCGTCACTCGTTTGTCAGCGGTCAAGATCCTTTAGCTGAGGTGCTACCGCGTGCATCACGTGTGGCTTCCTACCAAAACCACTGGCGCAATACCCTGGACACAAGGAACAACTGTCCCAACGAGCATCGGGTAACCGTAGACACAAAACCGTGCAAGGACACACAAGGTTTTAAAAAAAGCGTCGAGGGAACCGGGAACAACAAAGGAAATGTCAATCCCATCCCTACAAGAAGTTGGCCAGTTGTGGAGCGACATCACGAGCGAAATCAAACAGCGGGCGGTCCAGCAAAGGTGCGCTCGACTACGCACTCACTTCTCGCTGGTTTCCTTGTACTTGAGGAAGCGCAGGTGCTCGACGAGTTCCTCGGGAAGCATGAGATCCTGCGGCTTGTCGAATGTGCTCTCGCCCGTCGACGCGTTGAAGTAATAGGTCGGCTCGTTGTCCGTCCTACCCTCCACAGTCTTGGTTTTTCGTCGGAGAGGGCGATTTTTTTTCGGAATGGTGAGGGGGGTGGAGGAGCAACGCGCGCTCGTCATTCTTCACACGGCTAAAGTGCGCGCTATTCTTGCGTTTACATATCTCCACTGGTCACCGGATGCGCCGTTCGTTCGCATACCAAGGGCGAGCCACCGCGTGGCGGGCGTGTTGGGGGGTTGTGTTGGACACAATCGATATTTCGACAACCGCGGGCCCAGATTACAACAACATAAAGCTCGCTGCCATAACCCTGGTACGTACGAATGTATCAGTCAACAGTTCTAGGTAGACACCAGCCCGTGACCTGCCATAAGAACCAGTACACCCCCGAACGCGCGTCACACGTACCTGCCAGCCTTTCTTGGACTTGGCGTACGTCTCGACTTGGTGGTTCTTGCGGTGTCCACTCCCGTGAATTCTAGCGTTACACTCGCCGCACAGGGCATCCTGGCGGGGAGGAAGGAGGGCATGAAGGAAGGCTGGAAAGGGCTGAATGGTGTGTGTGTGTGTGTGTGGGGGGAATCCATCGGAGGGAGCAATAGCAGCCGCAGTCAACGAGCTCACCAATATTCTTTTGGAAACAAGCAATTGGTTGCACCGGACAAGAGACCGTCGAAAAAACTTACTCAAACAGTCCGGAGAAGGTCTGGCCACAAGTGATGAAGGCGGCGACTGGGATACCGGTGCTTCGCCGTGAACGTCAAGTTTGGTCACAAGGCTAGGCAGAGCGTTTCAGGAGATGGTCAGGGGTGGTACAGAGTGTGTCCCAGGGGGGGCCGTTAGCCCCCCCTGGCTTCTCCCCGAGGAGCATCAACCAGTCGCACATTGTACTAGATTCTCCGTGTCCCACTCCCAAACCGGGAGAGAGAGGGTACTCATGAATAGAAGGGCGAGAGGAGGGGGGCATACCTTACACTGAAGGCACACCCACTTGGCCTTTCGGAATCCACAGTCGACGCAGTGTCTCTCTCCGGGGCTGAGGTCTTCCTTTCCTGCAAGGTTATAGAAAAGACGAGAAAATTTTAAGAATGTACGGATAGAAGAAAGGGAGGCTTGATCGATTAGGTTTGGTACGTGGGCTCGCGGGTCAGTGTATCAAGGTCTAGCACATGCAGAGGAGTCGGCTCCTTTCACGGAACGCGGGTGTCTTCGTGGCGGCTACACAAACAACCCGTCGAACACGTTGTTCCAATCGCACTTTGGCACGGGCATGTTTTATGCACAGAAGCAGTACTTGCCGGAGTCGGCACCCTTCCACACATGCCCCGCCATGTCCTCTTCCTTGTGCGCCATTGTCCAGCAGCGGCCGCAGTACACCTGCTCCTCGCAATCCATGCAGATCTTCTCGCCTTCCCTCTGCGCAACGAGCCCGAGCCGGAAGTGAGCGGGTAGGGTTGCATCAACATCTACCAGCCATCAGCACAAACGACATCTATGCACTATTACTATACCTTCATGGACAATTGAACTTTCGTGGTACCTCGTGACACAGATTTTCACAAATCGGCGAAATTGGCAAGCACTATGGTACTTCACATGCTGAACGGGCGCCTGGCGATCGTCCTCCTCCTCTATCAGAAATTGAAGAAACGCCGATATAAAACTTGCCCTAACACTGCTTGCGGAAGGATCATCTCCCAGCGTCTGAAGTAGCATGATTTTCCACCACAAGATCGTACAGCAGCACACCATCATCAAGCACCACCGAAGAAGCGCACAAACGTTCGTTTTCCAAGAAAAAGCACCGCTCCGCGCGGCCGGGCGTTATCTGGGGGTCTCGCCTCGTCAACCTATAACGAGAGCTTAATACGACAACGTCCTACTTCGTTCTGTTTCACCTTGTAGCACTGCTCGCACGGAGGGAACCAGTGGGTCTCGCCCGTCTCGAGGTCGAGGTAGTACGCCAGGCCCTTGTCGTTGGTCTGCTTCCTCCACCTCTCCGAGGGAAGGATGATCCACCCTTCCGGCCTCTCCAAAGAGGACTCTCTGGTCATAAGGGGCGGCGGAGAATCACATGGGGGGGGATGGGGGGACGGTGTACTCTTGTTTTGCTTGCCTTAGCGGTTAGACCAATGAATTGACTACGTGTCCTCGGAAAGGACGGAGAAAATGGGGGGGGGGTCGTCCTCATATTCGTGCATGTCATAGGTCGTTATACCATTGACCTCGCATCCCTACGAACCCTGGACGGAGCACGCCGGGTATTCACCGGACCAAGCTCTCACCTCACCAAGCGCGAAGCGTCGTGCGGTATTCGACGAGTCGCATGGATTGGGGGGGGGGGG